CTTGTTGTTGGTTCTTCTTTGAAAACAACTTCTTTCAAATAGCCCCAGAGATAAAAATCGAGTGACGTCAAATCAGGAGAACGAGGAGGCCATGCAATCGGACCTTCTCGACCAATCCATCGGTTCGGGTACCTTTCATCTAAAAACCTCCTGACTATACGTGCAAAGTGCGGAGGTGCACCATCCTGTTGGAAGAACATCCTTCGCCTGGTTTCCAAGTCTACGTTCTCCAACAAATGAGGCAATTGGTCTATGAGCAAATCGAGGTACGTATTTGCATTCACAGTACGTTCGAAAAAGAATGGACCGACCAAGTATCCATTAACAATCCCGCACCAGACATTGAGGCTCCAGCGGTGTTGATTGTCAATCGCTCTATGCCAGTGCGGATTGGTATCGGACCAATAATGGCAATTATGCCGGTTCAACTCCCCTGTGTTCTTGAACGTCGCTTCATCGGAAAACATCACAAATCTAAAAAAATTAGGGTCCCGATCGATCTGCTGTAAGGCCCACCGGCAGAACTCGAGGCGTCGATCAAAATCGGCAGGTAATAATGTTTGGGTCAAAGTGATATGATAAGCATGGTACTTCCGAGCCTTCAAAATCCGCAAGATTGTGGACTTCGGTATTTCTGTGGATACCTCCAGTCTACGGCTCGAAATATGAGGATCGAGATAGACCGATGCCAAAATAGTCAGCACTCGAACGTCATTCTCGTCATATTCGTGATGACGACGTTGACGTGTCATTTGCCCAGTACGTGCCCTCGTGGTCAAATTTCTGATCATCACGTTACACGGATGTCGTCTCCTCGGAAAGCGCTGAGCGTAAAGTGCTGCGGCATTCACATGTGGCCGGTAGGAGGACGCAGAGAAAGACAATATGTCCACGTCGCTCCCTAGTAATGCTCACATTTTTCACTCGTAAGGAATTATTCGCTGAGAATACAAAATAGTGTTATCATTGTTATTATTATCATTATCCGCCCAAAAATAATATTGATAATAATAATTTTAACAATAATTATTATAAAGCTAGTATAATAAATATTGTTCATTGAGATAAAACTCAATTATTATCATACAGCTTGTCTCTTAGTATTAATAAGCAGAGATCTGGTGTGATTAAAATGGGAGATTATACACTCAATGAGATCGTTGATATGATTTATATTTTAGGAGAATGTCGAGGTGTCTATGTGAATGCCGCAGCACTTTACGCTCAGCGCTTTCCGAGGAGACGACATCCGTGTAACGTGATGATCAGAAATTTGACCACGAGGGCACGTACTGGGCAAATGACACGTCAACGTCGTCATCACGAATATGACGAGAATGACGTTCGAGTGCTGACTATTTTGGCATCGGTCTATCTCGATCCTCATATTTCGAGCCGTAGACTGGAGGTATCCACAGAAATACCGAAGTCCACAATCTTGCGGATTTTGAAGGCTCGGAAGTACCATGCTTATCATATCACTTTGACCCAAACATTATTACCTGCCGATTTTGATCGACGCCTCGAGTTCTGCCGGTGGGCCTTACAGCAGATCGATCGGGACCCTAATTTTTTTAGATTTGTGATGTTTTCCGATGAAGCGACGTTCAAGAACACAGGGGAGTTGAACCGGCATAATTGCCATTATTGGTCCGATACCAATCCGCACTGGCATAGAGCGATTGACAATCAACACCGCTGGAGCCTCAATGTCTGGTGCGGGATTGTTAATGGATACTTGGTCGGTCCATTCTTTTTCGAACGTACTGTGAATGCAAATACGTACCTCGATTTGCTCATAGACCAATTGCCTCATTTGTTGGAGAACGTAGACTTGGAAACCAGGCGAAGGATGTTCTTCCAACAGGATGGTGCACCTCCGCACTTTGCACGTATAGTCAGGAGGTTTTTAGATGAAAGGTACCCGAACCGATGGATTGGTCGAGAGGGTCCGATTGCATGGCCTCCTCGTTCTCCTGATTTGACGTCACTCGATTTTTATCTCTGGGGCTATTTGAAAGAAGTTGTTTTCAAAGAAGAACCAACAACAAGAGAAGATATGGAAAATCGCATAAGACGAGCTTGTGAAGCGATTCCACGAAATGTCTTGCTCAGCACAGTGGTCCATTTCCAAAGAAGGCTCAATTATTGCATAAATGCTAACGGTGCAACTTTCGAAAACCTTTTGAATAGCTAGATTAACAATAGCAAAGTATGCATAGTGAGAGGCAAGGGGACTCACTCTAAACAAGCACCCCTAAAGAGGCAGAATTCTACCACGTCCACGTCGTTGTCTCTGGATAATGCTAAGTGTAGAAGATAATTTAGAAATCCCCGTATACAGATACGATTTTCGCATGAATACACGTACAAGTTCCTTTTGACTTTGAAATGACCTCAAAACATGACATTTGATCTTATCGATCATACCATATCCTATTCTAAAATTTCCCGCTCTTTCCAAATCCGGGGTCGAAAATAGGCAATTCCATTTAAAAAATGTTATTTGACCTTCAAATAACCCCTAAGGTCAAAGTCAAGGTCAAATTCAAGGATATGGTCATACGTCCTCCTCCTTGTCCAACAACTTTTGTATGAAACTTTTTTCATTATTTCGCTCACCGGTCGAGTTATTCTCCATTAAAGGTTAAAATGGTCCACCCTGTATATAACCGCCAAATTGATATGGAATATTCCTTGAACTATTATCCAGGTCCCTACCAAATGTTGCATTCCGGCCGTCAAAAATTTATCATATATTAATAAAGCGTGCGTCGTACGAAACATCACAGCGAGTCCTGCGAAATATCATATTACAAGAAAAATTATTTTGCCTCGTTGCTGTCATATATCAGCACCAAATTGTTATAACATATTCCTCGATCTATCTCCGAGGTCTCTACAAAATCGGGCCACCTAACATTTATCGTATATAAAAGACTGTACCGAGCATTGCAGCATGTCACGTACAATTTTGGAACATTTTGGAAGAAATATTGCCTCGTAAATGTAATAATAAATCATCATAAAATTGTTCGGCCGTATTCCTTGTATTATTTCTAACGTCACTATAAAGCAGGGTTTTGATTATTAATACATATACAGGGTGTTATAAAAGTCCGGGAAGAGCAGAATAACTTGAAAAATATGAGTCCTAGAAAAAATGCGAATTACTGAGTTTTTATTATTTTTTCTTGGCTATCCGACGATGACCTTAGATTTGACCTTGACAATGACCTTGAAGGTAATTTCAAGGGCAGGTCAATTTTTTAATAGGACCCCATACTTCTGACCCCAGAAATGAAAAGAGCGGAAAATTTTACGTTCGGATACATGGTGGACCTGAAGTTTTGCCCATCGTCGGCTGTGAGATGTCGAGAAATTGCACGCGCGAACCGGCATCAGAGTCGAGCGCTCTGATTACGCTTTCGACAAAAAAGTATTCGTTTTTCGTATAAAAACGGGTCGCATATCAACAAGAAGCAACAGACACAATCAAAATATCGGTAAAATATTAGCGATGATCGCGAGGAAAAATCCAAATAATTGCGGAACGCAAATAGGCGTATATGTTCAGGTTTCATCCTAAACTCCTACAGTAGAGTATCTCTAAAGTCTGACTTCACCCCTGGATTTCAGAGACGGCTTCAAATATGGAAAAATGTTTCAAACAAATGTTATATGGCTTAAAGGGAGGCATAAGATAGCGATAGCGTTTTGTTTACAAATGGTGCCATTTTTTAAATATTTTTTAAGTATTCACTGATCATTAATTTTCTTAAACAGAAATCCCAATTTTTTATTATATTGTCTTTTTCTACCAATTAATTTGAACAACTTTTGTCTGAAATATTTTTTTATTTGCCTAATATTTTTTGAGATATTTAAGGAAAATTTTTTCAACATTTATTTTACTATATCTCGCTAATCATTTGTCGAAAGAAAAAGTAGTACTAGACTTTTTTACTCCATTTGACGTAAAAAATATATTGTTACAATAGCGCTTTGACTTTTGTTAATTTAATAATTTCGGAATTTCCAAAAGTTGATAAGTTAATAAAAATTTGGACGCTATTGTAGCAATATATTCTAAAGACTAAATAGAGTAAAAAAAGTCTAATATCACTTTTTCTTGCGACAAATTGCTAGCGAGAATCGTAAGTTAAATGTTGAAGAAATTTTCCTTAAATATCTTAACACTTTGCTAACCGCGTGAGCCATAGCTAACTCAACGCTTTCTACCGCGTATTTTCTCAAGTTGCTAAGAGAAAGGTAGGAGATCTCCCCCAGTTGGTCATGGAGCGACTTACTTCGAAGTAGGGAGATTTCCCCACTCGGTCGGCAAAGTGCCCTGTGACGACGGAGCGACCTATCGAACCGATAACTTTTACGACTACGATAACGAGGCCTCCACTGTCGCCAGGACACGGTCGGTCATGACAGTCGAATACCTGCTCTCGATATTACGATTGCAACAACGGCCACATTTTGAGTATCTCGAAGTTATTCGTCGGAATAACTTTTTTGACCTGGAAGTGTGCGACGTTGCAGAGCTCGTTACTTGTTACACGACTTTACATATACATTGAAAATAAATGAATAAAGATAAATACAGTAGTCCAAATTAGTTGAGTTTATTTTCTGCGTACAATGTACGCAGAAAGTAAATGTATCCCATATGTCTCGTCCTAACGCCGCGTACTGTCGTCGTTGCCCAAATATTCGTTGTATTTGTGTGGCGGCGTGATCGGTTTGTACCGTGAAGCTAAATTAACGATATCCGCAACGCTGAGAGGTGGCATGTCTAGAACAATTTCTCTGTTCGTTCCACTACGCGTTTGATCGATACCGCCGCCGCCACCACCACCATCCTGTCCACCGTCGTTGCTAGAAATTCGGAGATAAAATTCGCGCTCTGTTACACCGATGCGTTGCAAGTAAATTCTCATGCGCTCGGGTTTTACAAATTTGCGTTTGAAGCGAGCGAAGTCGCCAGGTACTTAATATTTGAACGTGTCCATGGCCGCGGTGCTGTGCGAAATATCATCGACGTTGTCCATCGAATCCGCCAGAAAGCGACCGGCCAAAGTGACCAAAGACGTACGACTCGTGACATATCCGAAAAAGACAGCGGTGCATCGCTGTCGAAATGCGTCGTCCAAATTGTGCAATCGATTCGTTGTAAACACGCTGAACACGCCGTAGTTATCCGTACCGTCGTTGGGCTCTAGTATCGTGAGAAACCGCGTGAGCAAGCTGTAATCGCCGCTGCTGATAGGCGGTGCGCCGCTGCTACCGCTGCGATTCTTCACCAAGCCATCCACTTCGTCCATGAGCAAAACAACATTGCGGCCGGTTACGTGAACCAAAGCGTGCATACGTTCGTACAGGATGCGCAAGTTCTTTTCCGTTTCGGATCGATATGAGGAGAGAAGATTCTCAGCGTCCACGAACGCCAAGTTGAGTCGCAATGTTTGTGCGACCACGCGTGCAGCCGCGGTCTTGCCCGTACCCGGAGGACCGTACAAAATCACGTTGGCACCGGCCTTCGTACGAGGTTTGCGCCCGTCTATTGAATTGTTGGTGTCGCGAGCGTTGCGTTTCGCGTTGGACGCGCTACTGTCAAAATCAAAGTACGCATTCACGATGAGACGATGTTGTTCCTCGTACCCCGGCAAGTCGTCGAGAGAAACTGAGAGACTTTCATACGGAATGTATTCATACAGTCCACGTGTATCCGTACGCGGATCCACGTCATCGCCGCCGCTGTCACCTACGTCGACGTTGTTGCGAGCATTTTCCAACCGGCGTCGCGCAGTGGCCAAGTCGCGTTCCAGATTTCGCGCGCCGCTCATAGATATGGCGAGGTCGCCAAATCCGCTCAATTGCATCGAACGCAACAAGAACGCCTGCATAGTTCGCGCTACCGTTTCGCGCCTCAGAAACATACGGTCGCTCGTCTGCAAACGGTCCTCGTACAAGTCCAAAAATCGTGCTACTTTGGCACCAAGGCGAACGTGGCCGTCCGCTGCCGCTCCGTTGTTGCTGCTCTCGAGATGCTCGATCTTTACAGCTTCGTCGTTGTACTCGCGAACGAAACGCTGCAAGTCGCGCGTGTACTCTCGATCGCGTTGCATATTCGTCGTTGACCGTATCGCCGTCGCCATTTTGATACTTATACCGATCGTTGTTCAAATTGCGCGCGCGTGACGCTGACTCGTCTCGGTGGATTCATTTTTTTTCGTCGATCACTGCACGAAACGTAAGATGGTGGATCTTATGTTGAACCAGAGAACCGAACCCGCGACTAAGCATTCACCGGATAAGTGTCCGAATTCGGTGTCTGATTTCGGCGTTCCATGGATCCTATTCTTCGTATACGTTCACCAAGATACGTCAAAAATAAGATCCATAAAACGAATCACGATCGATTCTTATTTCGAAACTGTGAGCGTCCTACATATATATTGCAAGACGATCATCGAACTCGGTGCTCAAGGTCTGCACACCTTCGATTATGAAAAAAATAGGACGCGTATGGAGCATTAGGTACACGCGCTATTGACGTTGCTATGTGATAAACTAACGACATTCACGAACGCGATAAAGTTGTTTGCGCTGGGAAAAAGGTAAAAAATAAATGTTTTTTTATATGTATACGTTTATATATATATATATATACGTTTATTACAAATTATAACAGTCGAGACTTCCACAAGTGGCTCTGTTTGGATAACATCGATAGCATCGCATACATAACATCTGTGAGAGCCCGACGTACCAAGTCCCGTTGTCTATACGGCACGGCAAATTGTATAGGTGCGAGGAAACCATGAACCATAACTGATTTCGCTAGTGCTAAACTTGACAAATTCAGCGGATTTCGCATGGATTTCGCAGTGGATGCGCGCGATTGCTTCCTTCGAAAGAACTTTATACCTACAAGGGTATCGCTGTCCACGTCACTATCCGTATCGTGATTCTCGGGAGCGCGGTCGTCTTCCCAACAATTCTCAAATTCATTGTGCCTGTCTCGTTCATATATACGTTCACAATGCTCATAGAAATTGAACGCTTCCTCCCATACATCGAACCCGAAAACAGTCGTCATCATTATGTGTAAAGTGTTTCGCAACGCAAATCGAAATATCGTATCGTATAAACAGCACAACGGCTCGCATCGATGTATCGGAATCCCACGTACGCAACGCATCATATCTAAAAAGACACCAAGCCTCTTGTACGACCACTGTCTTCGCGTACAAAGTCTAGTATCGGTTGTTGTACTAACTAATCGTAATATCGTGTCAGCCGCACGTTGCACTGTAGCGTATGGAGCAATAAGACTCAATGGAGCAGCCACAACCAAATTTCCGATTGACAAACAGTATTTGAACGCATCGATCAAAGCGAAATGAATTTCTTTCCTCGAAATATCACTATTATTGTCAAATCCATGACAAAAACGATCGTACAATAATCACACAAACAGTGCGCTACAGTTATATTCATATGCATTCTCGAATGAATTTACGTTGAGTTGTGGTAATTTTAGCAATTCGGGCAATATTAGTCGTACAAAGTCACGATCGCTGACAGTTCGCCAAACAGTCATATTTCTCTCGTCGTTCACAAAGAGTAAACCACGGTACGCCGTTTCCCGTCGTTTGTCGATGTTCTGTTGCTGCTTGTGCTGGGAATCAGGTCGAGTCGTTTCCGAAATACTTTCTTCGATAGCATTTAGCGTCATCAATAATTTATCCTCTTTGTAATGATGATGAGCGCATCGTCCATTTCTTTCGTATATGCACGTAATATCAGGATCAGGCAATGAACCAGCAGTTTTCGATCGTTTAATTGACTATTAGCCAGCAAAGTCCACATAACGGCTGAAGATTCGCGTATAACTTTTTGCGATTGAATCGTTCGAGCAATTGCAATCAATGACAGTTTAGGTAGTCTCGTATTGTTGACGTTATACAGCTGAGTTTTATAAAACGTGCGAGTGGTATCAAGCGCGTGCGATATTGCTTCGGCTATCAACGTATCTTGCAACAATGGTTCGGTGTGCGAAATCACCAGTCGTTCCAACTCGAACGATTCCATTGACGATTTAGTACGAAATCGATGTCTACGGTTGAAGTAGTTTCGACGCAGCACGCGCGCTCGACTGCACGTGATCGCTCGATCACAATATAACGAACGATGGATACTCGACGATCCATCCAAGGCACACCATTCAAACCATGGAACACGAGGTGTAGCGAGGACAAAGTCTGACTCTATCTCATATTCGAACAAATCATCTTCTTCGGTATCACTGCTCGAACTGTCTGACGAACTTCCAGAGGTCTTGGTGTTTCTATCGAGCACCTCCTCACTGCGTGGCATTGCGCGCCGTGTAATCACGAAATTAGATCCCGTTGCGTCAAACACGAACAACTAGTCCCAATCGCTGTCACTGCTCGAACTCTTCGACGAATTCATTGCTGCACGAATAAATTCTTCGTTCAGCAATCTTGGCGTTTTTATTGAGCCACTCCCCCCCTCTTCATCCACATCCCTCCCCTCTCCCCACTACGTGGCATTACGTTCGCTAATATTGCGACGTATCCATTTCATATGTTCGATAATATGTTTTAATATCGAATTTAAATTGCGAAGAGTATAATCGCTCTACAAACAGGACATTCAGTCAGATTTTCGCTACAGTACGTACACGATAATGTATGTTGGCAAGGTAAAAACAAAACGTTCCGTTCATATTCGTAACATATGATACACTCGTGTTTACACTCTGAGTTTCTGCTGAGATCGAAATGTCGGTATCGACGGTGTCAGTGCATCGCCATCAAAGATTCGTTCGCGTTTATACGACTGCCTGACTGACTCTGTCTATTCGATTACTAAAAATAAGTTTTCACGAATCGCGACATGGTTCGTGTGACGTAGCATTTTCAACAATAGATTAGCTCGGTTACAGAGATTTTCTATTTGCATGACTGAATTTGAAGTGTTGCAACACATGCGTTCAAAGCTTTCGATCAATTGCGTATACTCTTTTATGTCGCGCTGCGTGGCTAGGCGTAGATCATTCAAACGGTCCGAAAGAGTTATAACGCCAACCGTGTCATTTGTGTCAATTGAACGAGTAGCCACCGGTATGTAACCCATTAACATTCGATCGGCTATGCGCTCATCGAAGTCGCCTCGTCGTCGCTGATTATCGTAAGCAGTAAATCGCCGCAAATTGAGACCGCATTCGTTCTCGTCGACGCTGGAACGCTTTTGAGCGGTCTCGCCCACGCTGGTACATTTGTTCTCCTCCATGCCAAGAATGCCATTGACACCATCACCACTATCATCACCACGATCGAACCTGATCGGTCTTCTCGGTGCCGGAATTAGAGAAGCAGCTTTCTCTGATTCGGGCTCAGCGGTATCCTCGTTGAGAAAATGAGCACGGCATACAACTTTGGCCCAGGAACATTCTCGACTCCAGTACAAATGTTCCCGCCACGGATCAAATGTGTCATCTGTTATGGTCACATCTCTCTCGTTACTGCTATACCAATTTTTCAATACGATTCCGCAACTGTAGCACATCATTAAATCGAAGATACCGGTGTAAAAGAAACCGACCCACGCTAAATCTCGATGATGCCGTCGCGACGGCAATGCGTTGCGCAACCACTGATCAAAAGTGGTCAATCGTTGTTCGAAAGAATCGAATTGCATATATATAGGCTGCTCTAACTGTAAGCTCGATGCAAATTCTCGCTCCACACTGCCTTGTATCGTCGTCGGCAACGGCCTTATTTCGTCCTCTTCGTTGTTGTGACAGCAAGCGTCGTTGTCGTTCTCTGTGACGAAACGACGACGCGGTATCATTGACGCCATGGTACTGCTGTTCTATTGCTTAGATGATGAACGCAATAAAAAATCTCGGCAATTTAACGATAATTGTTCGGCGATGTCGAGCCTTTTCTTATTGCTATATAATAACACGACTCTCTTTCTTAGAAGGAGGTGTCAAAATGTGGCATCTAAGTGTCACATTGTCGCGTCGAATAAGATGCTATCGAGTTGAGGCATCTTCAGTCAAGATTTCACATTGGTTGTAGCAAATCTGAACTAGAATGGTTTCAGGTATCTCCCACCCTAACCGAACGCCGAGCGGATCATTCGAAATGACCTGAAACGTTATTTGAAGATCCGAGGGAGATATCGTCTTTCGGTTTGACGACGCGCACAAGGGAGAAATTCAGTCACATCCAAACGTTCTCTCGAAGGAGTCGGATCACTTTGAGACAAAATAGCAATCGCGAGTGTTGAATACGAGTGCGCGTACGTGTCAGTCAGTGTTAACTACTCGTTAGAAAAAAAATGTTTGTTCCCGAGCAACACCGAAAAAAAGTCGTTAGTGCCGTTACATTTTCAATGTACGAAGGACACAGTAATGTCTTCGATAAAATAGACACATCACCTAGGGCTCGATGGATACGCGAACATCACGACGATTACGTCAAACGAGTGTACAAGCGTATATGTGAGGAATTGAGCCAAATAAACAATAGACTTAATATTCGCTATGAAATGTTACAATATTTCTCGCGAGAAGACTTCAACGATTTTCGTGAAATATCAATGGAGACTCACGATTGTAACTTATGCAAAGTGCTAAATGACTTCAGTTCCAATCTCAAGAGTATTAAAGTGTACAACGATACTACACTCGTTACATTAAACGACGACGTCGAAGCGGCGATGAAAGTAGGCGCTCACGTGATAAGTGAAACTGAAACTTTTGAACACAAAACAATTCCGGCTTCACTCGATAATAAAGCGCCACAAAAGCAAGCGGACTGCAATTTACCAAACATCACGAATATCGAGCATCTAGAGAAGGTGTGTTATCGGGGGCATGATGGCAATTTCGTGCTTTCTGAAAATAAAAAATAAAATAATGTAACAGTGGTGGAAGAAATCATATCAGTGATCGCCATGGAGGATACGACTGACAGTTTAAGTAAATGTGAAAATATTACTAATGTGGATGCGTTGATTCAAGAAGTCACTATTGAAACGGTGATGCCAACTGAGCAGCAGAGTAACGTTAGTTCGGACGTTATGCTCAACTCTACCGAATCTAAGTCTGCCGCATGCTCAAATAATGATATATTGGCCGATAACATATCTATTTTGCTGAAGCGCGCTGTTCGATCGCCGCCGTATCAATCCTAGCGCGATCAACTATAAAACGGCGGCGATCGAGCTTCTAGTCACCAGACCGATCCGTACCGCCGTTCTAGATAGACGCTCTATGCCGATAGCTAGAAGATCCGGACCGTTTCGCTCTGCTTTCCGTATTCCGACTACCCGACCGGCGACTAAGCAAACGGGATTGTGCGTCCGCGACGCGCACGGATTTCGGGTCGCTTCGCAGAATAAAGAGGCTGAAATACCATTGGCGTCATTTTCATCGTTAGCCGAGGCATCATTGCCAGTCGAACAGTTCGCGTCGCCTAATTTTACATACGAAACACCGCCTCCTCAAAGACGACCAGAGCAAGTGCTGCACTCAACAACATCTGTACCAGAGTACCCGTATCCGTCAGAGACATCGATTACGCCAGTGAGTGAGCTGAGGCCGTCATTGCAGCTACATTCGGCACAACCTCCGCAAGTGTGTGATAATATGAACTACGTTAATTTGGACATCAGTACGACAAGTTGGATGAAGCAATTAGGTATTACATCCAATGAAAATCTCGAACATGAGTTCAGTGCGCAAAATGTTACAGACATTCCACAAGTGGCGGAAGCAAGTGACCTTTTTCTCAACGGACCCGCAGAAGATATGGCTATCGTTTCATCGCATAACAACGCTCGTTCTTGGGGAATGTTGAGTGAAGCAGTGATCGTTAAGTGTCCGAATGCAGAGTCCGAGGCTTACATCGAAGCGCGCCTGGACAAATATCGACGCACGTGCCACGAGGATGCCTTGCAGCAAGTGAGTGCGATCTCTTCATCGTCTAATCGGGAACATTGTCAAGAACTTCTAGACAATCTATTGTGCCAATTTAGTCACGTTGTACCCTGGTGCTTGATCAATAGAGTCGGTTTTGATGTATCAAATTCTGTAAGTATCGAGATGCAAACACCTAAACTTATAACCTATGAATTGTTACCCGAAGGCATTGTCAACATATATAGCAGAGAACCTAGCATGTCGTGTTATAATAAAGACTTTCAAACAATCGATTATATGAGAATAAAGCGCTTAAAGCGAACGAAGGACAAATGGTTGTCACTATTGCAAGAAACAATAAAGGAATCATCGCAAAACGTATTAAACGAATTGCCATTTTCGTTCATCATTTTGTCATGCGGAATAACTCACACTGCCGCGTTATTAAAAACACTAAATCGTTTGTCCGTAGACGCTGTTACGATTATTCAAAAAATTGTCCGTACACTACATTTTAACATTTGTCATTGGACCGTAGAGCCGATCAAAATGTTGCGCGACCAGCCGTTTGATGCAAGTCGAAAGTATACTATACTTTGTGTTCGCAATGACGGCTTTTGCGTATTGGTCACACCTATTTTTCTGGCAAACTTAGGAATACTTAGCTTAGCACGTAAATCTAACGGCACATTGTTTTACGACGTAATACTGAAGTCGCTCGATCGTTATCCAATGCGGTGCGGCACAATACACGCTAGACATAATGAGAAGACAATAAAAAAAGTATTATACGAGACGCTTCCTTCTTCACAGCGCAAAGTAGCGGCGCTTTTGGAACAGCAGCAACAAAAAAAATCGTTTCAGGGATGTGATATACTTACTGTTCCAGAAGCGTCGAATTGCGACATGAACAGTGAGCGCTTCGTATCATTGTTCAATTCTAAGCTAAAAGATTTTTATCAAGTACCAGATGCTACACACGAATTTGAAGGTGAAGAAACCCAACAGGCACCGCGAAAATCGTATTTAAATCGAAAGCACAACGTGTAACGGCCGAACTCCGCGGTTCGGTCGCTGCTACGCGTTTCGCACGGATAATGCTCGTCGGAGTCCGGATTCGAGGAGGAGTAAAGCAGCGAGACACTTGATAATGGCAATCGAAATAACTTAGTTTTATTGTATGCTTACTGGGATACAAGAGTTCGGCCCCGAAGGCGGTGTCGCGGGTTGCGTCTATAAGGCGCGTCGGTACGGTACGGTGCGGTGCGGTGAGCGGTACAAGCGCTCGTACGGACGGATAGGCCGTGCGGAAGGCGGGGCCTATTGCGCGACGCGTGTAGACGGTAACGACGGTAACGACGCGATGATCGGTCACGCTTCGCGACGCTGGGCGTCTCGAACAATTATCGCCCAATACTCGCTTCGAAATTGCTCGCGTATAAATGGTCGCCGGACCGGAGATTTCGATTCCCGGTCGAACGCACGCACGCAAGTCGCGGGGTACGCGAAATGATTTCGTCCGTCGGGGCCGAAGACTCTCCACAGAGAAGGCGTACGCACCTTCCCTTTTCCCTACATTCGCGGAGGAAAGCGACCAAGTGCTGCGGACACTCAGCGGAGACGGCGGACGCACCGTCCCGGGTTCTTGGTCGCTAGACGAATCGCCTAAAGGCTGAGTACGCTCAGTGAAGTTCGCCGACAGACGAACCCCTGACTCAAGGCGGCGGGTAAAGGCGAGAGACTGTCGAGTACGCTCGACTGAGCACGCGCACGCACGAGCCCAGGAAGACGGGAGACGGCCAAGTATCGAGTACGCTCGATCGAGACTGCGGACGCACAATCCCGTTTGCTTAGTCGCCGGTCGGGTAGTCGGAATACGGAAAGCAGAGCGAAACGGTCCGGATCTTCTAGCTATCGGCATAGAGCGTCTATCTAGAACGGCGGTACCGATCGGTCTGGTGACTAGAAGCTCGATCGCCGCCGTTTTATAGTTGATCACGCTAGGATTGATACGGCGGCGATCGAACGGCGCGCCTATCGGCGCGAGGCACGGTGACGGCGCGTGATCGCGGCCGCGCGCGCTAGCGGCAGCGCGTGATCGCCGCGGCGCGCGATAGCGGCGGCGCGTGATAGCGTCGGCGCGCGATAGCGGCGGCGCGTGATAGCGTCGGCGCGATCGTTTCTGTACTTTAGGGTGGCGCAAAGCGCCGTTCTTCGGCCCGACAGGTGGTCGGTCGGGCCGATAGTAACGAGGAGCATCTGTGCCTCGTTACAAACGTACGGTTCGCTATAAATTTTGAGTTTTCAAATTACAACGGATCTACTTTCGCGAACGCGGTTGCGAAGAATGAATGTAGCGTCTCGAAAATGAGCGAGTGCAACACATTCTTTTTGTAAATTTATAATTCGTATTTGACGCAGCATATTTGATATGTGATACATACTCGCTGCAAAATTGTCAAAAAGTAAACCACAATAGATACTTTACAATGAATATCTTTATTCCCCCCTTCCGCTCCTTTTTTCGGGTTGCAACAACATCATCAACAACTTTCCAGAAATAGGACGTATGCACTTGTGCACGTAGAAGCAATTGCCTGGCGCCAGGCTGAAAAGGTAGGGGAAATCGAGGATAGTTAATATCTGGGGCACGTTGATACATTTAAAATTATTGCAAAATGACAAACGATAAAAATTCATAAAAAATATAGTAAAAACATTGCGCTCAGCTTGTAATAAGTTATTTCAGGCTAATTAATGTATTTTCGGAGACAGAAAACATTTTTAGTTTTTGATAGCCAAAAGTAAAATAAATTAGACGTATATATTATGTTATATTAATAAATTTGTTATATTAATAAATCATTATATTATGATTGGAATAATTTATTTAGAATCTTTATATTAAGAATAATAATTTTTAACTATA